CCTTATTGCAACTAGCAAGTAGCTTATCATCCACATAAATGACCAGATATAAAGAATATTTTCCCCCATTACCTTTGCAGTAGAAGCAAGTGTCATATTGACTTCTTTTGAAGCCCAATTTTAGTACAAAAGTATCAAACTTTTTGTACCATTGTCTGGGGCTTGCTTTAAACCATACAAAGATTTCTTTAACAAACACATAGTATTTTCAGGGCTACCTTTCTCAAAACCAACAGGCCATCTCATGTAAATAATTTCATCAAGTTCATCATATAAGAAAGCAGTTTTAACATCAAGTTGATCAAGTTTCCATTTAAATTGAGCAACTAGGGCAAGCAAGCATCTAATAGTAGTGTATTTAACTACAGGAGAAAAAATTTCAGTGTAATCTATACCCTCCTTTTGAGTAAAACCTTTTGCTACTAATCTAGCCTTGTATATTATGTTATTACCCCCACATTCTCTCTACTTTATTTTATAGATCCATTTACTATTTATAGGTTTCTGTCCTTTTGGCCTTTCTACAAGTTCCCATGTTTTATTTCTAATCAGAGAGGCCATTTCATCTTTCATAGCAGCTTTCCAGTTTCCACTTTCTTTACAGTTTATGGCATCATTATAAGAGTTTGGATCATTTTCAGAAAGTTCTTGATAAGTAAACAAAGAAACAAAATTTTCACTGTCAAATCTGGTAGAGTGTCTAATCTGCCTCATCTCTCTGTCCCTTGTAGTTGATACTCATCAAGGGGTAGAGATGTAGGATCAGATTGATCAGTGTGATAAAAAACTTGTTCAGTTTCGATTTCAGTTGTAGGCAAAATGTCATTTTCTTCATGTTCAATATTCTCAACAGTAGACTCAGTAATATTCTGGTAAATTACTAGAGGACTCCATCTCAATTTGAACATCTTTTTCAATTAAAACATTCTATTTTCCTTCAAGGCAAGGCATCAAAGATTCATTAAAAATTACATTCTTTCTAATTATAACTTTGTAACCCTTTTCAGATTTAACCTACAGTCTGTACCCTTTAACATGTTCATCATACCCCAAAAAAAATATTTAAGGGATCTAGATTCTAACTTTCCAATGTTTTGATGAGTATAAGCAGCATGGCCAAAAACTTTCATGTAAGAATAATTCACAGAGTTATTAGACCAGACAATTTCAGGAACAACAAAATTCAAAGCACTTGTAGGACTCATATTAATTAAATAGGCTGCAATGTTACCTGTTCCACTCCAAAACATTTTTGGCAAATTAGAACTCAAAAGCATACATCTAACTTTATTTAACAAAGCTCTGTTCATTATTTCAACCATACCATTTTGTTGTGGTGTGTAGGTGACAGTTCTGTCTCAAAATTTCATGCTTTATGCAAAAATTGTTGAATTCACAATTATAGAATTCCAATCCATTATTTGTTCTCAAGATTTTTATTTTAAGATTAGTCTGATTCTCAACCTGGGTTTTCCAATCCTTAAAAGTCCTTAAAAATAGAGAAAGTCTTATCTTTTGATTTCAGCAAAAAGCACCCAAAATTTTCTTTAGAAATCATCAATTATTAACAGGTAATATTTGAAGCCAGATAAGGAAGACATAGCAACAAGACCCCACAAATCAGCATGCAAGTACTCAAGTTTTTGTTTGGATTTATGAGTTCCAATGGAAAATGAAGTTTAAGTTGTTTTCCTATAATACATTGTTCACAAAAACCAAAATCACCAATGTTTAATTTTTCAAAAACACATTTTGATTGCAGAAAATTCAAACTCTTTTTACCAATATGGTCAAGTATTTCATGTCATACTTTTGCCAAAGTAAAATTTCGCATACAATAGAAGCAGTTGATCCCAACAAAGGTTTAGCTTTCAAGTAATACAAACCATGTCTCTTAGGGGCTGAAACAATCAAATCATTCCCCCTAATAATTTTAATATGTCATTTTCCCATATTAATGTTAAACTCCACATCATCTAACATGACTAGGGACACTAAGTTCATTTTCAAATCCGGGACAAATCAGGTTTCCTTTAGAAACAAAAGATTTTCATTTTCTATTAGTAATTTAACAGTTCCTATTCCACTTATTTTGCAGGCAAAGTTATTTTTCATTATAACATGGCTTCCTTTGATTTTATCAAAATCAATGAAACAATTTTTGTTTGGACACATGTGAAAAGAACAACCAGAGTTAAGTACCTATTCATCACTAAGTTTCTTTCCAACACTTACAATAACTAAACCATTTTCAGTTTTGGTTTTATTATATACAAGAGCAGTGCTCCCATCTTCAAAACCCTTTTCCTTTGCTTCATTTTTCTTTTTAAAACAATCTTTAGCAAAATAGCTAATTTTACCACAATAATAATATTTCTTGCCTTTAGCATTATTCTTGGTCTTATTCCTAGCAGTCCACCTTTTATTTTCTTTTGAAAATTTTGGATGATATTCAAATTTACCAAAAGTTTTTCCATTGGACAGGAAGTTGATCTCAGTGTGATTGACACTTGACTCAACCTTAATTTCTTGTGCCTTATTTTTCAAAGCATTGATTATTATATCAGAAGTGAGTTCATCTCAACCATATTGTAGGGCAACTTTAATATTCTTATACTTGTCACTGATGCAGTTTAACAAAACTACAGCCAATTGATATTTTGAAAGTTTTTCATCACAATTGGTCAAGTCTTGGGTAAGTTTTGTAAATATATTCAAGTTTTCATCCAAATCAATTGAAGGTTCCATTTTAAAAGAAAAGAATTGTTTTAAAAGAAAACATTTGTTTGGAGTAGTTTTGGTCACATATTTAACATGAAATTTGGTCCACAATTTAGAAGTAGTTTTAGTTTCACCAATACTTCTAATCACATTTTCAGACAAGTATAAGAAAATAGTACTCCAAGCAATTTCTTCAAATTCAACTTTCTTTGCAGGAATTAAATCAACATGCCAACTATCATCCAAAACTTTATCACATCTCATTTGCATTAAAATAGCTTTCATTTTCTGACTCCATAAGTTGAAATCAATTTTTCCATCAAACTGACTTACTTCAAATTTAGCAGAGGCCATGTTAAAGTCAAATCAGACTGAAGACAATTAACACAATTATGCAAAGAACAACAAGAGTACATATTGGTGACAAATAGAAAATCACAGTAATACACTCAGTAGAACAAGATTTTCAATTAATAAACACTTGCAAGAATATGTAGATCAATAACTCTAAAGAAACACGGCATCAGAGATTTCTAAACTATGTTTCACTGATCTCTCCAGCAAGATTCTGCAAGTGACACACTCGTACTTGATTTATCTCAAATTCTAGCAACCTCGCAGGAGCTACTAGACAAAGATTAATCTCAAGGGGTTTTAATGGTGTACGAAAAATCAAGGGAATGATCAAGAAACCTAACTTCAAAAATAAATTTTACACAAGTTAAAAATCTCACCAAGCGAGTTTATATAAACTCGTTTCCTTTTGATTTTCTTAAGAGCAAATCAAGAAACTTCAAGATCTGAAGCAAATCTGCCACTTTCTTCAAAGATCCAAGTATCTTGTTCTTCAATTCAAGGTTCTGATACCACTGTAAAGCCAAAACCACACACGATATAAGACTCGAGAAACAAGAATAATCGAATCAATTGAAAGTAAACTGCAGAAAATTAAAATGAACACCAAAGAATTATTTTGGCCTTATCCCCGGAGGTCGGTGACCACTTCTAATACCTACATCCCCCATTGAGCATCCAAGAAAAGGATTATGCTCAGTTGCACTAAAAGAGCCCAAAATGGCAACGAAAGTCACAATTGTTCAAAGAGATGAAGCAAGAGACTTATCTCTCAAAATATAGTGACAGATCTACAAAGATTCACCAAGAAATCTCCAAATAACCCTTCGAACAATACCAAAAAACCACAACAGAGAAATCACACAGATCCTCACAATATTCACTCAAAATATTACACAACGAAAGTTACTCTATCACACACAACACTTAAAATCGGAGATTTTAAGGGAATCAAAACAAAGGTAGAGAACTCTAGCCTATTTTCTCTCTTTCTCTCTCAAACACGCAGGATCCCCAGAAATCTCTAGAAGCCAAATGAACCGTTTGAAAACCCAAGAGCCATTAAGTCCAAGTAAATAATCCATTTGCCATCCAACGGTCAGAAACAAAGCATGAGTCAAGCATTAGTTGAAAACGTTTCAATTAGTAGAAGTGTGTGTCTCAAACACGTTTTTCCCACAAAATGCTGGGAGCAACAAATAAGAGAGAACCAAGGTTCGATTCCAACAGGCCAAGTACTTGAGTGTTTCACATCTTTTATTCTCGAAATTCAGTTTTTCTCGTAGGATTTGCAGTAGAAATTGTGAGTAGCTTAAGAGTTGACAATTCAACTGCAGTATGGAAAATAACTATTGATTGTATTTTAGGAACCGTGAAACTTCAAAGGGAAGACATTAGGAAAAAAACCGAAGTGCCTACTGCACACGCTTCTTGCATGCTCGCACTAATTAACGAATATTTAACTTCTTAAGGGGTCAGCGTCCAACCATAGCTCACAGGGTTAACTGTTCTATACTTTCCAATCTTTCTTCTTTTTGTTGAATTTAAGAAATTTTGAAGTTAATTCAAGACAAAGAATGGAAAAGTTTGAAGAGATTAATTCTCGTATTATGATTTGCACTTTTTTCCCTCGGCAAATGTTTTGACTCAGAGCATTTTACAAGAAATGTTTACTATATTTTTGTAGGTTGAGTATGAGTATTCCTACTTTTATTACCCTTTTGTTGCTTCCAATAGTAATGCTAACCTTATTGAGCCTCTGAAGACCTTCGGAATAGGGAGTATGTTAATTTAATGATAGCTAATTATGTTTGTAAATTGCAATGGTTTGCACAGGTTATATTAAGTACTGTTCTTTTTTACTCACACTATTCATCAGGTTCCAGGTCAAAAAGAAACAATATTTTCGCAATTTCTCGACTATAATGCTGTTTGGAGCAATTGGTACTTTGATTTCATTCGCCGTTATATCATTGGGTATGCATAAATTACCTTTTCTAGTATATCTAGTCTAAACAATATTTGTTAATATCTAACAAGAAAATCATTAATGCCTCTCTTGCTCTTTCGGATCTTTATGGAAAGAGCTGAACAAATTTAACGATAATGAAAAATAAATAAATCATCTTAGCTGGAAATAAAACGTTGGAATAATCTGAATCGACTTGACTCAAAAAATTGACTCATTTCGAAAGGCATACTTTTTAACGAGTATTGATTCTACTTCTTCTAATGTTTCACATGTAAGAAGTCCATTCTACTACTATTAACCACCTAATCTAAAAACTCAATGTTTTAGATGTAAGCCATGCTTATATATTTAAATTTGATCTTCAACACGCCGTCTTACATGCAGGCTATAATCATTTTTCATTAAAGACATGTGCAAAATTTTCATAAATGGGTGGCAGCAAGAAGTAAACCTAGATATTTTTTGTTGCTCTACCATATTAACCACCTTATCTAAATGTTTAAGCTGTTATAGAGATGCCACATTTATTCATTTAAAATTTGGACTTCAACAGCTACAGACAGAGTTTCTTTACTTGTGGGCTTTGATATGCTATGCGTTTGCATGTCATCAAACTCCTTTAAGAAAATCTGTTCTCAGTCATGGAAAACAGCTCGCAGGAAAGGCCTTCTGTTCCATCAATGTATGTCTGTGTATCCGTTCAATTGAACTTCGGTTCCTCTCGTAGAACCTAATTCTAGCATCTAAATAGCATGTTCCCATAGCCTAATTAAGCTCTTCTTTCTTTTGGATTTTGGAGAGAGAAGGGGTAATGCATGACAAGGAACACTTGTAGATTCCCCCCCTTGCTTGTCTTGAACAACACTGATTTTGAGGATCAGAAGGAAAAGAATAAAGAATAAAAATTGAAAAACAGGAAGATCATTGCTTTTCAGAATTTTTTGAGTTCTGAATATTTCTATAAATTTATTTAACATTCATTTCATCTGTTAGAATGTAAATGATCGTGCTGTTGCCTACATGTTCAAAACTCTGTGACAGGTGCTATCGGCCTTCTCCAGCAAATGGATATTAATCTGGCAATTGGAGAATATCTTGGTTCCTCTCTCTCTCTCTCTCTCACACACACACACACACACATTGTAGACTAACGCGTTTGTCTTTCTTCCAAACTAAAAAAAAAAAAAAAAACTGTCTTCAGCACTTGGAGCAATTTTCGCTGCAACAGATTCAGTATGCACCTTGCAGGTAAATTTTGCCGCAGTATGCTGTTGAAATCAGAACTGAAAATCTTGCTTCACTGCCTGATGCATTATATCTGATGTTACAGGTCCTAAATCAGGATGAGACACCTTTATTGTACAGTCTAGTCTTTGGGGAAGGAGTCGTAAATGATGCGACATCCGTGGTTCTCTTCAATGCAGTTCAGAACCTTGACCTGACTCGTATAAACACCACTATAGCTTTGAAGCTATTTGGGAATTTTTTGTATTTATTCATAACAAGCACCATATTGGGAGTTGTTGTGAGTATTCATTCCTCCCTCCATCTCTCTCCCCACACCCCGCTCCCCCCTCTCCTCTCTGGGAGGTGTGTGTTGTGAGTTTAAGCTTCTAAATTCTTTTAAATTGAGTAATTTTTCACATTTTTCATCTGTTGCAGGCTGGACTGCTTAGTGCATACGTCATAAAGAAACTCTACGTTGGAAGGTTTGTGATGATATCCATACATGTTATTTTCTTTTCCAACAAATTTATTTTTTAACAAAATCATTATTTTTATGCGCACCAGATATATGTGCATTTTTATTTTTGATAGAATCGGTTCAAGTCAGATAAGGGTTTTCAGGCCAACTTAACCTGAATGGGACGAGATATATACAAATGTCACGTACCCAATATACCACCTTATAAATTTACGAATTGCAGGATGTTCATCGTTAATGTTATGATAGATAGACATGATATGTAAAAAGAAATCATTTGTTAAGACAAAAGCCTATTCTTCACCAGTACCGTTCTCTAATTTCTATGACTAATTGTTTGATGAACTACAGACATTCCACAGATCGTGAGGTTGCCATTATGATGCTTTTGGCATACCTTTCCTACATGATATCTGAAGTAAGTATTCTGCACAACTTGTAAGGAGCTTATAGAACTTGGCAATATTCTTCTTTGACAACTTTTAAGAAGCCTTTACCTATTGTTCCGATTTAACAAATGAACCTTTCTTTCGGCCTAATATGTCGTGCAGTTATTCAATTTAAGCGCTATACTCACTGTGTTCTTTTGCGGCATTGTGATGTCACACTACACCTGGTATAATGTCACGGAAAACTCAAGAGTCACCACCAAGTATGGCGTTACTTTGCACAACGTAACACTTTTAGAATATATTGTTGCTTATGACACTTCCCATACCCTAAGTTACTTAATAAATTGACGTTTCTTATTGATTTGTATCTTCAACTATTCCGCAGGCACACCTTTGCCACTTTGTCATTTGTTGCTGAGATATTCATATTTCTTTATGTTGGCATGGATGCTCTAGACATTGAGAAGTGGCGTGTTGTAAGTAGCAGGTATGATTTATATGTAGATAAAATACTTGGCCTCCACTTGGCAAAAATTTATAAATAATCAAACTTCATTTTTAATCATACATTCCATTGGACCTACAAGTACTATCCATCATTCATATCTATCAATTTATAAATTAAACGGTTGATAAATTTTTCCTAAATGGAGGCTTAGCCACCATAGTGTAATTTCATGAACTTTGCTATCCAAGAAGAGATTTTTGTATGCTATTTGGTTAGAAAAACATTGACTTTTTTGGTTATTGTCAGCCTGAAGACATCAATTTCTGTTAGTGGAATTCTGATGGGATTGGTTTTGGTTGGACGAGCAGCTTTCATTTTTCCTCTATCGTTCCTGTCTAACTTGACCAAGAAGTCTCCATATGATAAAATCGACTTTAAGAAGCAAGTATGAGCTCAGAAATAATCATGTCAAATGTACAACATTCTCCTTTGTTTGGGCTATCTAACAATGCTCCCATTTGTGATTTGCAGATTACAATTTGGTGGGCTGGTCTTATGCGAGGTGCTGTTTCGATGGCGCTTGCTTATAAACAGGTAAATTATTAGCTATGACTATTTCAGTGAAATAGAATGTTTTTCCCCACCTTTATCAACGCTGAAAGTG